CAAGGACCTTTGTTTTGTGATTACTGTTGTGAGTTATGCTGAGATTTAAGGATTGCTGACAGGTGGAATGTTTGTTGTTGTGGAATTACAGGGGATAAATCAGTTTAGTTCAATGATATGCAAATTTTTGTAGTTCTGTTGGATTTCTTTTGCCAGTAATCCCTTTCTGAGCATACTTGATTCAAATAATACTGCTGCTGTGAATCATCTTGTGAGATTTTGCTGACAGTTGAAGCATTTAGCTGATTTTACTGCTATTYCTGTCTGTTTTCATGAACAAGAGGAGCAGGCTTGACTATCTGAAGCTTATCCTTTTTGCCAACACATAAATACCTAACCATTTAGAGTCAGAATTCAGATCTTTTAAAGTGGGACCGATTATAAACAATAAATATCTCACCTGCTGTAGACATTACTTTGAACAGCCTCCATTTGAAGAAATGTAGTAGGCAGTTACATAGAGTAACAGAATGCATATTTTTGCACATTTTGCAAGTGCAAAATGGCTGGAAAAACTGTTTTGTGTGAATCTGACAGCAGTAAAAGATTTAAACATAGTGTTTATCTGAAATCTTATGAAGTCTTTGAGACAGGAGTACAGCGAAGCCCCCGATTTTTGCGGCGGTTAGAATTCTTAGAGTACCAGCTAATCGTGAGAAAACGCAAACTTTGGATACGGTCCAGAAAAGACCTACAGCGCTTTTGGGTGGCTGCGTAATGTAACAACAAAACAAAAACACACGAGAGCTAAACRGTTAGCAGCTACATGCCACACCAGGTGTCGACATAAGAGCCTTCAGGTTCTGAGACAAACTATTTCATTTCAGACAACCAGATCTCATCTCCTGGTTGTCCAGCAGATTTAAGTTTGCCACYGCTACAACAGATTTCCATCATCTGTGGAAATGAAAGGAAACTCTACACGTGGTGTTAAAAGGTGGGAATGCTGTGCTCTGAGAAAAGCGTGGGCACAGGGCATGCTTCATATACTGTACTGTTTTTTTCTTTTATATGCAACTCATTTTACGTCAMTGTTTATGTTACAAAATTGGTAAATTATATTGTTCTTAATAATTKAGATATAAAACTCACAAAAAAGCAGGAGAGAAAATCACCACTTTTCTATGAAAAAATCCRCAAAATAGTCAGCAAACTGTGAAATGCAAATTTGCCGGGCTTCAGTGTATTTCAGGATGGACTAGCCGTTAGCTTGTCAATCTGGGCAGAATTTAACKTTTGTTTTGAACTGAGGTCATTCACAGGTAAGATATTTATTCTAAACAAAAACCTTGAGTGGATGAGATTTTTTGGGGGTATCCTTTTGGATGATTTTGTGTGTTGGGTATTTGGTTTTGCCTTGATGTATCCATTAAAATGTTCCCGTTTATGCTGTTAACACAGGAGTAAAGRGAGAGATTTATGACGTGCAAAGCACAGTGCTGAGTGTGTGAGGAAAAAAAGGTTTTATCTACCAGGAAGGACGCTAACATTGAATGTAAATGCAAATCGGCTGCTATTTCTAATTATATCCTGCAGAAGTATACTGAAGCGTCACGGCTTCACRTTGTTCCTCTGCTCCGTCTCTTTTGCTTCTATTTTAGTGCCGGAATTCACGCTTCTGCAGAAGTGTGGATGAAAGAGATGGGACAGTGGGGAATACATGTGTGAGTGTTGTTAGTGTCCCCCCCTCACACACACCCCTCCTCCTGAGATCACAGAGCTATAAAACCTGTCTGCTTTACAGTGGGGGGAGGAGAATAAAGCAAAGTGTCAAAGATAAACGGCTTTTGTAGAAGCCATGTGTGCTGCCGGACCAACAACAAAAGATGCTGAAGAACAGCAGGAGGTGTGTCCCAAAGCGTCYGCCTGTCTTGTCACCTTTTTATGTGTCTGAAAGTGTAAACAAACCATAAAAAGGGAAAAAAAAAATCAAAATAAGTGTTTGACTTCCTAGGTGGCTTGCAGAAAATATTARGAAAATTTATTTTTGAAATCCCTTTTTTTCTTTGTAGAAAAAGAAAATATAAGTCCAYATTTTAACTTTTAAATCCTTTCAACTTTGATAAACAAATTACAACAGCATGCTGAATATTTCACCAACATTTTCTATTTTTTAAAATGAGAAGCAGCACAACAAATTAGTATTTTTTATTCCATAAAAATAGTATTGTCTTAAAATAAAATCCCAAGTCCTCAATGTTAGAGACCGAGACAAGACCGAGTCCAAATGCGGTCGCATCTGAGACGAGACCAAGACCATCAAGAAGTGGTCCTGAGACTGGTCTCGAGTACTACAACACTGCTCAAAAACACTCAAAACTAAATTTCATCCCACTTCCAAATGTTCAAATTCTCACTAATTTAAAACCATAAAAGTACAATTCTTACCAGAGAAAGAACATTTTAAAGTAATCTTCTGACCTTACTTCTAAGAGCTTTTCTTATCTCTGTCTAGAGACTAGAAATTTATTAAAATGGRAGTCCATGTTCCTGGTTCCATCACTGGGCACAATTCATTACTAATTGGTCTTATTTGTGGTCAGGGATTGCCAATAATCGTTTTACTGTCCTCTCTTGGGTTGAATCGGTAAGTCACATCATAAACAGGGCTGTAAAGCTCTTATAGTGCTTCACACTATGTATTCCTCTCCATTCGCCTAATTACCACTATATGCAGCCACTCTTTTTCTTTATCCATCTGCACGTCTCATCCCTCCCACGTCAGGTCTGTGTCTCAGTCACTCACCCACACAGACTGATTCCTGCTCACATCCAGGGAAATAAACCAAGATGAGAACTGTGTCTCTGTTTTTGTGCTCTGCTTGATTTTCAGCTCGAGCTTTATTAAGACCCCCATCATGTTGGATTTTCAGCTTCATACAGTATTTTTTTTCTCTTTTTGAGAGAAGATGTTTGTGGTTAAATGAAGCACTCTGTGCAAACTATGGTATTAAACATGAAAAGGTTTACCCCAGTAGTTTTCTAGATGTATTGATGTTCTGAAATGTGGGTTTATTGTCATTGTAAACAAAACAGATTTTAGAATCCATTGGAAGCTTATCGGCACACTTTACTCAACAAATGGGATTGTATTACGTAAACGTACACTAAATGTAATCAAACTTCTAGAACTCAAATGGCTCCTTCATGCACGTTGCCATTGTTGACCAAATTTCATTACTTACGTAAATAAAGACATGTACAAGCTGACAGCCATTTACAAAATTTTGAATAAATATTTTAACCATAAATATGAAAAGAAAAATTTTCAACTTGTTTTTTGCTTTATTTACTTTAWTCTGGTCTTTATGACAKTGCAATGACTGTCTACAAACTAACTGATCATTCAAATTCCGAAGTCCTCAACTAATTCTGATCACCTTATGTTACATGTGAAAGTTGATTCTCAGCAGTATGCATGAGTGATAATTGAATGAAGCTGACTTTCAGACCTCAGTGGTCCCTGATCCATTACTGTGAAGGGACCACGTGGGTTATGACTTGCTCTCCAAATGCCATCTTACGGCATTTTGATTTTTGCAAATGCTTTTTTATTGACAACCTAAACAACCCTCTGAATGTTCTTTAAAATGCTGCAACAATTAGGAGCCTAGAAAATGTCATAAAGAAGTCTTTTGTGAAGGTTCTCTTTCTATATGCATTTTGTGTGTGTGTGTGTGTGTGTGTGTGTGTGTGTGTGTGTGTGTGTGTGTGTGTGAAATAGTAGCTTCTGTTACATTGTAAAGCCTTTTCAAAGTCTTGTCTAAAATTTTATTATTTTTTTATTTTTTGCATCAAGTTCCTCTCTTTACTGTTGGCTTCTAAGTTGCTGTGATGCAAAAATGGTCTAAGCACCATTTATTTCATTTACAGTTACATGAGCCACTAGGGCTGCCACAAACGATTATTTTTATAATCGATTAATCACAGATTATCTTTTCGATTAGTCGACTAATCGGATCATACGTTAATTGAATATAAAACATAGAGCTTATCGCGCCAGAATGCAGCTGCTATTATATAACCATGGTTAGATTWTARCTAWATGCTAACTAAAAATAATTGCTGTGGAAGGCAAGTTCTGCTCTGCAGATATTGCACAGGTTTCTCTTTCATTTTCTTAAAATGATCCCACACTTTGAGCTCTGTTACCAGGTAGCCATGATACCAGAGCCTGTCTGTATAATGTCTTGTGACGTCCACGGCCTACCCCAGTTACCACTACTGTGCATGTGTGTCACTGACAGAAAGGCAGATGTGGCAGTGGAAGGTGTCAAAGCAGTTTGGACAGAAAAACAAAGTAAAGAACAAAAAAAGATTAATCGATTATTAAATTAGTCATCGATAATTTTAATAATCGATTAGTCATCGATTAATCGACTAATCGTGGCAGCCCTATGAGCCACAATCCTGCCAAAGTAAACAACAATTTTCCCAACCAGCTTTGGTTCTCTAGTGCAGTGGTTCCCAAAGTTGGGGTCAGGACCCAAAGTGGGGTCCTGAAAGATAAAGGTGGGGTCCTGAAAAGATTTTCTAAATTAATTACATTTTTGCCTTAGTTGCCTAAAATGTATAAATGTGGAGTAATAAATATTGTTACTATGCCCATGTTTAGTCGACCTGATACAAATGTTTATCATCCAAAAATAGTTGTGGGCACAGGTCTCTGCTACTGTTATTTTGTGGGTCAAAAACTGAAAAGTCAGTGAACCACTGCACTTCAGAAATCAATTTAAAGGGTAATAAAATAATTGGTGATGTAATATTTTCCCTATAATTATTATAAAAACACAAAAAAGCATAATAAGTATTTATATTTGTGTAGCCTTTGTTTTTAGGGTTATTAAATAAGTTTGTGTACTCAGACCATTAATATTTGGGTTCACAAGTTTTTGCCATGAATATTTTGTTGGTCAGAAGTAGGGTTGGGCAATATTGGCAAAAAAAAATTAATCAAGATTAATTGTGGTATTTAGCCGATAACGATTAATTTGACAATTRATCCCCTGGAGTCCCTGGACACCTTTATGTCCTGGTCACATGACCAAAGTAGTGGGAAAGATTTGCTCRTCATAAAAATCTGTTCCAAATTGTGTCAAAATTACAGACTTCAAGCTACACATCAAATTTTAAATTGTGTTGATAGATAAATAAATTACAGAGCTTTTTTAAAATGTTCATCATATTTGAAGCAGAGAGGAGCAGCGAGCGGACTCTGCCTGGTGGCATTAATCGTATTAATCGTCAAGTGCCAAAAAGTAATCGATTAATGTTTTTCTGACTATTAATTGCACACAATACCATTATGCCCAACCCTAGTCAGAAGATAAAATGTTTGGGAACCACTGCTCTAGTGCGACTTCTAATGATAGCTCTGTCACCAAAATTAGTGCTAGTAAGTGTTTTTATTGTTTTCATTTTCTCAAACCCTACCTTCGCCATTTGTCGTCCCAAGAAGTAATTCCATTCACATAGTCAGACGTGTTCTTACATTCACTGCCTTTTTAGGTTTGCAACAAAATTGATTTTGTCAGCCTAGCTGTTTGGTGAAGCACAGTTTATTCTGATTCAGGCACTGTGACCGAGCTTACTGCTCAGCCTTCCTGGTTTGCTGTCATCAGCACAAGCTTCGGCACTCCATCAGTGCTGTAATCGATCTGGCACCATGTCCTCGCGGAGGATTGTGCCTCCGCCTCCCAACCTCCTCCTCCTCTCCCACCACTTTGAATTTTCCATGTGTGTTTTATAACCAGCTAATGATTTGATTGCGAGCATTCATCTAGGGGTAAAACTTTGAGGCAGTGTGTGCGGATCCTCTCAGATGTTGCCTGTTAAACATAATGAACTCCCTTGTCTCTCAGCAATCTTTGATCCCAAGCAGAAACAATTATATAACCACACTCTAAATATACATGCAGGATTCATTATATTTGGTTTCATAATTGTAAGAGAGCATATTTAGTCATATTTAGTTCATTTTTTCCCAGAARCTGTAAGCTATCGGGGGGACATATTTGAATTTTTTTTTCTTTTTCCAGAGCATTTGGAAAGATTTCAGCTCTGCACATTGTGAGCAGATTCAAATCAGCCACAGGCAGTGTGAGCTGCCATCTTAGCTGTGAATTTTGCTGAAACGGCTGCCGCCACACACAGAGAGATGCCACCTGCTAATGAGAATAGACACCCCTGCTGCAAAAGTAATTAAAAGGTGGGAGATCTGTTTGAACTTTGGAATAGACTCAAATATTCAGTTTGACTATTTGAGGAATCAATATGACAGGTTTTTTGGTCTCACATGAAAAAAAATGGTGAAAGTTTGGGAGAAGGAAAAATATGTTTCCATAGCCAGGTAGCAAAACTCAATTTATCAATGCATAGTGATTTTCAAGAAAAAAACATTTTGAAACAGTAAAAAACAGTTTGTGCATAATTACGGAGAAATTTAAAGCATTAGATTAATTTTATGTTGTGAGTCCCGGTTACATTGATTTGTGTATGCATTTTTTATCTCTTGATTTACACTTTCTGCTGCAACACAGTGTGGGTACACCTGCTTGTCATCTCATCATCTATGTTTTAGTGGCACAGCTGGGTCAAACAGTAAAGCAATATTTGTTGCATAAGATCAGCAAGCATTAGTTTCTGATCTGCTTCTTTAACCACATTACATTGTCTATCAAATTTATCACAAGCCCACTAAAATCCTACAACGTGAATCTCAAGGCACCACAATGAAAAAAGTCTACCTGTAATAAAATAACATATTTCATATTTATCATTCATGATTAATGTTGCAAAGGAATGAGGATTTGATTTGTTGTGAGTCSATCTCCTACATGAATCTGTTCTAGAAAATAGCATGTTTGAAACCGAAAATATGTTGAGAGAAAAGCATCAATTCTCCTGTTGTGACCAAACATTCACTTAGGTTTAATCACTTCTGGTCCCTAATTCACATCTGCAATAAACCCAGACATATTTTTTTATGAAACTAGACACTCGGTCTTTAAACATCTTTCTATTCAACCTAGTCTCCCTGGAGGAAAAACTCATTCAAAGCCTTGCCTCCCATGTCATATCTTTTTTGTACTTGCCTTCATTAGCCATCTCCAGAGGGATTTCTTTACTTACGTGTAAACACTTTGTTGCACAAGCATCGCTCTATTCAACATGTTTTCCTTTAATATAAAAGAAGCTTTTGGTACATCTTATTTTAGTTCCTCCTTCAGTATCCCACTATTCTAAAATATCATTAGAGCAAACAAAGAGTTGTAATATAATATAGCATGAGGATGTTTTAACCAAAATGTGTGTAGAAGTAAAGTGGTACATATACTGCTCTTTCATGCTTTTTGTTTTGTCCCAAGGCAGCAGGTTTTGTTTCAAATACTCATTGATTTATGTAAGACTGATATGTTTGATTATGTGCATTGTACTTTGGATTTCATAATTCTCTGCTGCCAAGATAAGAGACAATGCAAACCATTTTAAATGTCTCTGGAAAAAAATAGGTTTTTCAAAATTGAATTGTATTTTTATTGATGATCTTTCTTACAGTTTCTTTTTGTATTTTTTAGGTTAAGCAAAAATTAATCTTCTTAGAACCTCATCAGCAAGATCTTTGTGAAAACACGGAGTGAGATGACATTTCAGATCTGGATTATTCAGCGTCACATTTTACTTGAGGAAGGACGGAAAGGGAAGTAACTTTTGCAACTCAGTAAATGGCCTCATTCCCTGATTGTGCCTAAAACCAAACACCAAACATGAGCATTCCTACCAGTTTCCATGGTCTGAGGGTCAATGTTGACAGAGAAGAAAAGATTGGAAACAAAACCCAGATCAGTTTTACCTCATCTGGGGATGACAATGCCAACCGAATAGCTTCAGTCACCCACCAAGAAGGAAGAGGATTGGTTGAGGTCACAGGGTTCAGCACAAGCTCCATTCCTCCGCTGGTCCGCCAAACTGATTCCCCAGACAAGATAGTGATCTGGGGCTCAGAGCAGCAATGCATGGAGCCTGAGCTCAGAGAGTTTGAGCTTCTGGATTGCCAGGAGATACATACATTCTTGAGAAACAGAAATGAGGAGGACAATGAACAGGAGGAAGAAGATGGAGAAAGTTATAGAGATGGAAAAGATGAAGGTCCCATGTCCATATCTTCGAGTTCAACTGCCAGCTCTGCTTCAGTTGGTGTCAGGAGRAATGACAACAGCAACAAAATAGTAAGCAGAGTACAAAGGGACAAAGAGAAGAGGRCTGGCTGTCACAGCACCGAAGAGCTAGACAAATATGTCACAGGTTCTATAGAGAAAAGAGACATCCAGTCAAGCAAGGACAGGCGGAAGGCAGGTCTGAAGGAGTCCAAGTCTGAGACAAATGTGTTTSTGTCTRGTCTGTCAGCGGTTGCTCTCAGTGGAAGCCTGTCTAGTGCTCTGGATTCTAGCGGAACAGCATCTTTCATCTCTYTATCCAAATCCAAGACCAGCACTTCTCCCACTGCTATTAACACTACCTCAGCCCAGACCAGCAGAAGGGCAGCCTCTGTAGATGCCAATCAGAACTCCCCACCAATGCATCCCCAAGGAAAATATGACTGTCCTCAATACTGTAGCCAGGAACAGAGACTAGAAGAGAGGAATCTTCCCAGAAATGGACTTTCCTCTAATGGAGGCTTGGGCCAAAGGAGAAAGGCTGGATTTGAGGAGAGGGTGTTGCCACCTCGACGGCAGCAACTTGTCAGACCCCTCTGCCAAACGGAGATGGGAAGAGAGAGGAACTTGATGGAAASTGGSACAGTGCTACCCTCCCCCCTCAATKTCTCTCTAGAGTCACACACTAATAGGTCGAACAGAAAGTTTGCAAAATCRTCCCTACGGGAACCATCAGATTTCTCCCACTTGTACAACACTGCAGGAGTCTACCAACTGAAGCAGCCAAACCAGTCAACCCAGAGAGAGGCATCACCAGTATCAAAACAGCCATCTGCTAACGTACAGTCCATATCTGGTCCAAACTCATCCATCCAGGAGAAGAAGCCTCAAACTCAGCTGRCATACCGAAGGAATTGCTCCAGTCCAAACAAGACTGGGGGTGAAACCAGRTCATCTACACCTCCCCTCTCCCCTCTCAGGACACCCCAGGGCTCACCACGCAGGCAGCCCTCTATGTACCTCATTTCCAGGAACGTTTCTGGAGCRCCTCGACATGTCCCACAAGGATCCAACCCAGCGATACAAACATCAGCTCAGGGCTATGGTAACAGTTCCTTGAGAGCACCTGTGAAAACTAATATAAGCACAAGTGGAATCCCTAAAGCGCCTCCTTCTATCCAGCAAAGCTCCCCCAACTCTAACCCCAAAGAGAGCTCCCCATCACCTAAGCTTAAACCTAARGGAGTCCGACCCAAAATCATAACCTATGTCCGAAAGAATCCCCAGTTTAAACCCCAAGCTTCGGATGGACCTTATCAGGTATCATCCCTACCATCCAGGCTCTCAACGTACGCCCAGAGCCAAACACCCACTACTTTCAAAGACACGTCTAAAGACCCCTCTAAGTCAGATGCAGAAAACCGGGGAACCCCAGTACTCAGTGCCTCCAATGTTCTTTATGACAAGTACCGCCAAGAGATGCAGGCAAACARTTTCCCAGCAGGAATGCAAAGTCGGAGCATCAGGGCTCCTGGACACACAAACACAGTCCCCCTGGCACATTCACACACCCACAATCTTTCCCCAAAACTGAGCAGCAGAGCAGACAACTTCTATGGGACATCATCAGAGGTGAGTCAAACGCCTAAGKCTCAATTTTAAAAGTCTTAAGATTGTTTTATCTTATAATTACAGTAAATCCTTCAGTTTTTAAGATCTTGTAATTGAAACTCATTAACAAAAATCAAATAACCTAAGACAATTTATTGTCTCTGTTTTGTTTTCTTTGTCAATTAGCAGCAGATACCAACAACTTGAAACAAATCATGTCAAATAAACTCCTAGTAATTATGTTTGCTCTGCATGTCAGTTTTACAGCTCATATCTGTGTATTCTACCATTAAACCATATGWAATTGATTAGATGCTCTGCCTTTTCTCATTCCAAAACAACCTGCCATTTWTCACTTTAACCCTGTTTCTTATTCTTTTTAAAACACTTCAGTTAGCATTCATGCTCATACGTATGTAGATTGGAAATGTCTGCTTCAGTCCAAAACTCATTTTATACTACTAGAATTTTTTTGTGGATAAAAATTAAATTCAGATGCAATATTCAGTGATGAAAAATTCTTTTTGTATATTTATTTTTTACACCCAAAATGCATTTATTTATTATTTGGTATCCAATAAAAAATGAAGTGTTGTCTTCTGCGCCTTGTATTAATGTGTAATATCACAATTTATGATTTCTATGTGCTTCAGAGCTTTAAAAATGTTAAAATCATCTATGGAGTGTCTGTCACTCATGCRTGATTCCAATTTCTAGGTTGGAAGRTCCATCAGTTTGAAAGGCAGCTCCGCTGAGGATGCTTTGCAGAGCAGGACAGCTGTGCCGGTCGGGGGGACCGGCAGTCTCCTGCGCTCGGGCCGAGGTCTGCGTCTCGGTTTGGGAGCTGTCACCAGGACGGCCTCAGGCTTTGCCAAGAGCAGAGGACCCAGTCCAGGACAGAGGTCGGCGCCGGTCTTCAGCCAGCCAGTCCAGCCTGTCAGCCCAGCAACCAGCCAGAAAATCCAAGATAACACCGGTTGGTTATTTTTTTTCACTTTAATGTTTTTGAGCAGGTTACATATTTTCACAGCTAGGATTTCAGGAGTTTCTTCTCATGCAGCATTGAGCAGTTGTGGGACCTATCCCCCACTTGCAACTTGGCCCGAGATGAAGGCAGCTCATTAAAATTCATTCTTTGAGATTAATTTTAGCAGATCTGATTGGATGGCTTTTTACAGATAGATCTGAGGGGACTTATTCTGCTCCAGAAGGCAGCAATCTACAAACCAAAATAAATAAATCATAGCTCACTCACATTTTCTCTTTAACAAATTTAGAATTCTGATTATTCTGATTGCACCTCAGACTGCTAAACTCAGGTTCACGCTCCAGCACAGGCGTCAATAGAATATTGAAGTTTGACTTTTTTTGTTCTCCCATCATCCTGCTATTCATCACTTCATGCATATTAGATGTACTTTCCCTTCTCATGTGATAACCCAGTTACACAATGAAACCAMATTGACAAACATGAGGAAATATACAGAAACTTTACACATGTAGCTAAAACCTGTACACAAAAATTGATAATTTTATTATAGCCTAATCTTTATTTATACAATGCATGGCCTCTCAGTGCTGCTGGCCTCTMTGAGAACTCTACGAGCTTCGAAGTGCAAAGCAATTAACACTTAAATTATGTCAGCATTGCCCCAATGGAGCCATCTTTGCCTTGTTAAAATGGCGTCGATAAACACCTGCTGGAATTTCTTGTCTGGTAAGCACTGAGTGTATGCAGGCTTTATTATCTGCTCCATCTTCCAAGGAAATCTGAGCCAAAACCTTTTGGTTTTCTTTTTCTTTTTCTTCTTACTGTCAAGGGCAATGTTTTACCTTTCAGTGAATCAGTCTTTGTCTGGCAAGCACACATTATGGCATTTATACTGTAGAGCCTTCACACTACTAGAACCACTCCCACACAAGACAGAATTTAAATTTCTATACTGTTATGATAATGAGTACGGTCTACTTATATGATAACAGAAGGCTCCKTAAAAGTGTGATTATTCTCCACACACCTTTTTTCACTGCTGTAACAGCAGTGCATTGCTCCAAAAAAAAAAGACATTTAATAATATGCAGGTCAAGGTCTTGTGGTAGGAATCTATACTCATTGTCACAGCTCACTTTGAGCTGTAATTAAAATCATTAGTGCCTATCACAGCTGCATGTGCTATTGACTTTTCCCTGTCCTGATTTACATAATTTRTAATGGGTGAGAATGTTTCACACAAAGCAGATATTTAGTATGGCTGAACACCTGCTTTATGATTTATGGCAAGTTTTCAAATACCAGATACAATATGGGGTTGCTGTAAATATAGGAGTAAAAAAGAAAAACCTTAATGGAAAGCCATAAAGAAGGATTAGGCACAGAAGACAAAACAAGATTTCAYGTTTTTTCTTCAGTAAATGCTGTCGTTTAGCAGGTGTTTTTATTGATATCTTGGCTGAAGTGGGTTCACTTCTCTCCCTGCTTGACTAGAAGTGATAAATAGAGTTAGGGAGTGGGAGTAGGAAGGCCAGGATGGAAATGAGGGTATTTATCCCTAATAATCCTGACATTCTCACTCAAGAGGAGCAAGCTCAGATCTACGAAACAAACCTCACGGTGCACAGGCAGATATTGGTGGGGGATGCAGGAAATATGCGGTAAGTGTTTGTGCAGCGGCTGGGATGATGCTAGAGGGGCTGAAGCTGCACTGGAGACATTTTCTGTTTTTTTTTTTCTCTGTTCCACTTTTCCTCTTCTCCAACATTTTTTTTCTCTCCTGGTGTGACAGTCACCTCATAGCATGCACCGCAGCACACTGCTGTGCCAAATGGAAAGGAAAGGGTGGCTGCTTGACTTATCTATGCAGCCAGCAGGAGATAAAGCGTTTCCTCTGCGCAGGATTTTAACCTTGTTCCTCAGGCTGATGTAGCCAAAATGTGGATTGGAGATTTGGCCACTGAAAACAATGCATTCGTAGTTTTGTTTACTGTTGAAAACAAAAGATTACCAACAAGGAAGATTTCCTCAATGCTTTCYGACATAAGCTTCTTCTATAGAGCTATGATTACCTTTTTATCCCTTGATTCTCAGCATTTTCCCTTTGCTTTTTCTCCTTTTCTTTCTTCTATTTAATTGAACTCTTTTTAAAGCCTTCATCTCTGGCTTAAAGTCTGGACACCTGCAATGTTTTTTTCAGAAGTTTCAAACAAATAAAAAATATCCAGAGAAACACAAAAACAAATGAAAAATTATTTTACTTTTGTAGAAGACTTTGCACAAATCAGATCMCTTTCCTCTGAAYGATTTCATAAAGTGGTGRGCACAGTTCTTGTAATCCWCTAGAAGCAAAACTAGCTTCTCATTTAGTGGATAAGCTTTTTTGGACYAACTTTGGAAACAGACCAATTAGTTTCCACTAAATTAGGTTCCACGGACTTTGAGTCCACTAAAGATTCACATGTGTAAATTTGTATTTTAATGCCAAACTAAGTAAAAACTATCCCCTCTTACATACTGGACGTGTCTGACACATGTAATATGTAGCACCTTTAGTAGCTAAAATTCAAATTAATTCTGTGCACACCACTGTGAATAATATATTTTTTAAATTAGCCTTGATAAATTCAGATTGCTTATAAGCTGCCAGTGAATGTATGCTCAGTAGAGAAACTGGCTGTTAGTCCAGACTACAAACACTACTAGAGCCAAACACTATGATCCACAGGTTGTTGTGTGCACACTGCACAGTTTTAATATTTGCATGGTGCAATAAAATCAATACAGATTACATTCTGCAGACAGAGTTTGGTCAGCAAAGGATGATGAATGATTTACACAGGAAAGTAAAAAATATAGATTTGTTAAATCTTTTGCAAATGTTTCTGTTTGCTAATTATTGCAAATAAAATTAAAATAAAAACATTGAAAATTTCAAAATTTGCAAGAAACAATTTGTTCAAAACAATGCAAATATATATTTGTAAACAGATGAACAGGCTGTTGGCTGTCATCCCTCTGCTGCTCCTCCACCTTTGACAGCAGCCGCTCCGGCCCTGTCCTCGGCCTCCCGGTCTCTGCTCCCCAAAGTGAGTCCATCGGGTCTGCGTCCTCCGGGCTTCTCGTCRTCCTCCTCCTCATGCCGCCTCCCAGCAGGACGCCTCGCTGCCTTCGGTTTCGTCAGGAGCTCCAGCGTCTCCTCGGCCTCCTCGGCCCACTCTGCTGACAGCACCCAGAGTGACCCCTGCAGGACGGCTCACCGTGAGTTCAATTGAAAACGAAATGACGACACTCTTGTTGCTAAAAGTGAAATTTTATGCCTTGTCTTTTTCTTATTTGCKCCACTTTCATAAGATGTCTTGGTATTTTTCCATAAAACCCTTTTTTTAACATCAGACCATGAGCACACAATCAGAATCTCTCATTTTGTTTTATTTGCTTTCTATGTTGTATTCTCTTCATAAATAGAACCTCCTGCCACAGTCATTATTGCAGTTTTATTTCTATGGATGGATGGATGGATGGGTGGATGGGTGGATGGATGGATGGATGGGTGGATGGGTGGATGGATGGGTGGATGGGTGGGTTCAGAACAGTTCTTTTGGTTGATGAGTTTAATTACTGAGTGTAATACTACAGCTAAGAGGTTTGAGGCAGTAAATATTTGATGTAAGTTTCTGCAGTTTACTGGTAATTTACTAAAATTAGGAGCCATGAGTCAATAAATTCCACCTCTGAGACGCTTTTCTTTTGAATTTATGTAAAAAACATGGCACAAGTGCCTGATGTCATTCCCCAAACTCATCAGTAATTCAGCAGGCCGCTGACTGGGTCTGCGCTGCAGATTCAGTCAGCATTCATAGAGGTAAAAAAATGTAATAAATCATAGACCTGCTGCTGAGTAAACTATATGAACATGCTTCATTTTACAGTCATGGTTTGGAACTGTTTGGTTTTCCAGCCGTGAATTTCTGTGCTGCTTGGTTAGTCGGCTGAATCCTGCGGTAGCTGCATGACTGTTTCATGTGACCTACATAGGAACACTTCTCCCAGTTACAGTTGATGTAAGCGCTTACGTTCTCAGCTCACGCACATCAGGCCCCCCTGTTATGTCATCTCTCTACCCCTCTCTTCAGCGCTCTTTTTTTCACCCCCCACCCCATAATTTATTGAAAATGGATCCAAACTGTGAGACATAAGAGAGGCAGCATTCCAAAWGCTGCAAACAGAGCAARTGTKTTGTTTTAAATTAAACAGAAAAAGAGTAGCAAGAGGTCTGCTACTGCAATGAGTACAGGATATTAAAGGGGCTCTATCATGTAAAATCWACTTTTTTGAGTTTTATATCAGGTTATAATGTTATACTCTCATCAAAAACATTCCCAGAGTCTTACTGTGACTCATTCAGGCATGTTTGAGAAATCCTGTGCTGTCCTGAGGCAGCCAGGCAGGAGAGCAAAAATGACCGGTCAGGACTAGAACCTCCTTTTGGGACTAGCTCCTCCTCTGGACTGTGTCTCCAAGCTGAGCTTCCTCATCACAGAGCACACCTCCTCCAACCACCATGGCCAGCTCCGCCACTCCTGCAGGCCATTGGCAGCAACACCTA